TAAAGACCGAGAGGAGATGAAGAGGAGTCAATCTGAGATGGAAGCAAAACTTAATCTTTTGCTCAGTCAAATTCGACCAAGTTAAGACATGCATGGTGCATATCTTTTGCCTATAACTACATGCATTTTGCTGCTGCTAACTTGTGTGAAGTCAATTTCGACCAGGTTAAGTCATACATGGTGGTATATATTTTGTTGCTGCTACTTGCATTTTGCTGCTGCTGCATGCTGCATGAATCAAGCTGCTGGACTTGTATGCATTTCTTGAGTCTGTGTTATTGGCTTGTGCCATGGTAAACTATAAGGTTGTGTGCACTTTTGTATGGTAACTGTTGTTGGATGAAGACTTGTGTAATGTGATGCTGGATGAAAATTCATGTGATATGTTGTTGGATGGAAACATAAGATTTTTTTTATTTAATGTGCTGCTACATTAATTCCTTGTGGGCTGTGTGTGTGGGCTGAATGTTTAACAATGGGCTGTGTATATGGGCTATATGTGCTGCAGTAGTGGGCTGAAGAGTGGGCTAAAAATTAGTGACGAATTTGGGCTGCAATATGCTGAAATGGGCTTGCAAAAATGGCTGGAAAATTGCTGCGAAAATGGCTGAAATTGGGCCAAAATTGGCCCATCTTTGATTCTGGCCTGTTAACAAATGGGCTGAGGTAGTGTCCACGTCATCATCCATGTAAGCAACCATGTAAGCATCTATGATGATGTGGCAATTCATCCGTGACGGTTATTTTCGTCACAGAAATGGGCTTGGGGTGGACTAACTAGGCCTTGGGCAATATTGTGACGGTTTAAAACACTGATTCTAGTACTCTGTGATGGTTTTCGACAAACCGTCACGCATGTCAATCCATGACTCTCAATCCGTGATGATTTCTTAAACCATCACAGATGCTGTTTAGTGATGGTTTTCTAGTGATCCGTGACGGATATTTTTCATCATGGATTAACAGGATTCTTGTAGTGGGGATTGGTTCTCGGTGCTCCCTCCCTGAGCCTGTGCGTCACCTGGGGGAAGCTCGCGCCGCCCTAGGAGCCCCCGTCACCGGCCGCACCATCCTCCGGCCGCGCGCGCTGCCATGGGCGCCCTAGCGCCGGCATCCCCATGCCCTGCGAGTGCGAGAGCAAAGAGTGAGAGGAAGGAGAGAAACAGAGAAAGAGAGGGGAAAGAGAGAGGGTGACGTGGACACCTGACATGTGGGGCCTATGTGGGTACCACACTGACTTAGCCGCCACGTAGATCAAAACCGGGGTCAAAACCATCAAATGACCTCGGGTGACCGGCATTGTATAGTTAAGGGACTCCGCATATCTAGTTTTGCGGTTCGAGGACGTTTTTTTATCCCGATGACAAGTTGAGGGACCTTCTGTGTACTTTTTCCTTATGGATCGGATTCATCGGCCGCTTCGATCACTTTGGGCCTTAACGTGCGCCAATCTAACAACCAGCTTTCACGAACGCGAAAAAAAATTACACGTCAATATATTAGAATCTAACGACCAGCTCATCTTGATTTAACCAACCAAAGGGGTATTTTGGCAATACCAAGTATGAAAATGATAGAAATCATGTGAAATAGCGAATGAAATCAAAAGAAGATCTTAAGTTTGGCTATCGGCACGGTGCCGTATCATTGCCATCGCATAACACAGACCCCCTAGGATTATACTCCTATATATGCCCATGTGGCCATGCATAACACGAATTATATACTCACCCGCCTCAAAATATATAAGTATTTTTTTACCTGATACAATCTTCGAGATACTACTTTAATCAATAATATCTATAAAATTAATATGTTTTAAATAAAAAAGATATGCATATTATGATAGTTTGTTTAAGGATAAATCTATTAATATCAAATTTATGTGATTGATGCTTTTTATATTTTTGCTATTAATAGTTAAAGTTTAAATTATTTAAATTATCACTATACTAAAAATGCTTTATATTTTGAGATGAGAGAGTACATGCACACACATACGGTAGCAATGACATCAGCCATCAACCATGCATGGAGTAGTACTCCAGTATATAAACTCGGCGTTGGTTATAACCTACTAGTATTTAATTTGTCATGCAGGTTCGGGAGAAACATGTGAACGGGTGACGTGGTTCCATTCGTAATCGATGACATTGCGACAAGCCGACAATCCTTCGATCCAACTACCCGATTCGAATGTGTCTTCCTTACTTAAAAAAACAAGAATATTAGGAAATAACCTAATACAAATAATTATAAGGGATAAGATTTTAAACTTAGATCGTATAGCCCACCACCTTAAGGTATTGATATTGTAAGGCACGTAATGAGAGACTTAACCTAAGAAAATGGTCCAAAGTCACTCAAGCTCACAATATAAGTACCTTATTGAGTGACCTAATAAGATAAAGCTATTGTTGAAGGGTACAAAGCCCATAGTGAGCGTACCCTAGCGCACGGGGGACACGGGCAGGTGAAGGAAATTAATTCCTCACCTACCCTTCTCTTCCTCGCGACCTCGCCCCTTCTCTTTCTCTCAGCCGCGCCGCCCCCCTCCTACTCCTCCTTCCCACGCCGCCGCGCCTCCTCACCTCCCACGCCGCGGCGGCGTGGCGGAGCTCGAGCGGATGCTGCCGCACAACGTGCGACGGCTGCACATCGGGCACGGTGGCGGCGTTGTCCCCGGTCCTATCGACCGCGCCGCCTCGCCTTCCGTCGACCGTGGCGCCTCGTCCCGGTCGACCGCGCCGCCTAAAGCTCGAGTTGGCGCCGCCGCCGTCATCCACCAACACCACCACCACCCGCTGCTCCCCCCCCCTCGACGCCGGATGGGGAAGGCGCGGCGCGCGGCAATGCCATGCTCCGACGCCGTTGAGATCGGGGTGGGGTTTTTCGTGGGCGATGGCGATGGCTTCATCAGCCTCGACGAGTTCGCCGCCCTCAACGCCACCGCCAGCGGCGACGTTGCCGCCGTCGTGACGGTTGGAGCTGATGCAGCGCGAATCCTGTGATGATTTTGTTTTCTTTTTCTTTTTCATCTTGTTGAATCCGATCTGTTCTTCCCTTTCAATCCCCAAGATTTTTTTTTGCTTTGCTCTTCCAATCCGATCTGTGGCGGAAGGGGATATTGGGAGGGCGAATAGGGGATATTGCTGTGGCGGAAGGGGATTTTGGGCGCTAGGGCACACGAGCACGAGGCTACGCTGTCCACAGCGTGCGCGACCCTCGTCTTCTCCTCGCTGCGCGTCCTCGTTTTGGCGAGGTTCTGCGTCGCTCACATAGGAAGCGAGAAACCTAGCAAAGCGCGGTCGCCCGCTTCACATCGGTGAAAATCTGAGCTGGCGCAACGAGGGAAGGACTTATAGGCGTTTTTCATTTTCCTGACTTCAAGGCAGTGTCATGTTTGTTGGCCGCTGTACGTGACCAGTCTTAACGACAACAGTAGTTTTTTCCGTCTGTATTTTCGGCGAGCAGTTCTGGTGGATTATCAATGGGTTCCGGATGGAGTAGAGTAAGGCCGAGTTTAGGCCTTGTTTAGTTCCCAATCTATTAACTTATTAAAAGAATAGAAAAAGTAACATCCACGTTCGCTCTCACGGCTTAGAAATTCTTATATTAATTGGAGAAAAAGAAAAACAGAGTCCATATAGAAATACAATTTAGAAATAGTTGAAATTCGGAATTAAAAAATAAGGAATATTAGAAGAGGAGACTAGAGTCTATATAGAAATACAATTAAGAAATAATAGATATTCAGAATTAAACATAAGAAATATTAGAAATAGAGTATAGAGTCTATATAGGAATTTAAAACTAACTAAAATTCAGAATAAACATAAAATTAAAAGTAAAGTTTAAAGTTTGTATAAAAATATAGTTTACAGATAACTAAAATTCGAAATTAAAAAAACATGGGAAGAAGAAACTAAAGTCAGTATAGGAATACAATTTAAAAGTAACTGATATTCGAAATTAAAAATTAAAGAATATTGAAAGATAAGTTTAGAGTCCACATAGAAATACAATTATAAATAATAAAAAATTCAGATTAAAAAATAAATAATATTGTAAGAAGAGCCTAGAGTCTATATAGAAATACAATTTACAGATAACGAAAATTCGGAATTAGAAAAAGAAATATTGAAAGACGAGACTAGAGTCCATATAGAAATATAATTTACAAATAACTAAAATTTGATATTAAAAATAATTAACAACTAATACATTTATAAAATACAACATGAATATTACATATTAGTAGTTTCGTAAAGTTAGTATAAAATTTAAAATTATGTTGTCATTTTAATATATTTGAATAATACATTGAAAAAACATATATGCTATTATATAAGAGAAAATATAATGATGCTGGCCGTGCAATCTGCGCGGGCCACCATGCTCGTTTTTTCTTAAAATTTTCAACTTTTTTATCACATTGTTCCAATTTTAATAAAACTTTAAATTTTAGCGTGAACTAAACACATAGTTCCAAAAATTTTCTTCAAACTTCTAACTTTTCCATCACATCAAGGCCGTGTTTAGTTATAAAATTTTTCTTCAAACTTCCAACTTTTCCATCACATCAAAACTTTCCTACACATAAACTTCAAACTTTTCCGTCACAATTTCAACCAAAATTCCAATTTTAGCGTGAACTAAGGCTGTATTTGATGGTGGAAAAGTTTTAAAATTGGAAGAAAGTTGGTAGTTTTGTGTGTAGAAAAGTTTTATATGTGATGTGATGTGATGGAAAGTTGGGAATTTGGGGGAACTAAACACGGCTTAAACACACCTCAAAACTTTTCTACACACATAAACTTCTAATTTTTCCAACATATCGTTTTAATTTCAATTAAACTTATAATTTTGGCGTGACACCTAAAATACCTGTAGCCAAAAATGGGGGTTGTGGGGGTTTTCCCGGAAATGGGGGTTGTGTCCTTTCAGTCTGTGTCTCGTCATCGCGGCGGTATAAATCCTGTCTCCACTCACCGGTCACCACTCACCACTGGACCACTACCACTGGACCACGGGGGTTGGAGTAGTGACTCGTGACGCAGCAACCGTTCGTCGCGCCTCTATTTACGTGTTCGTTCGTCGTCGCTCCCATCTCCACTCGTCTCGACGCATCCGAGATTCTATACCTGCTCGAGTGCTCGATCCGTCACGGACTGATGGACGCCGGCGACGCAGCCACCACGAGGGCCCGGAAGCCGGTCGTGCTCTACCCGTCGCCGGGCATGGGCCACCTGGTCTCCATGATCGAGCTCGGCAAGGTGTTCGCCGCCCGCGGCCTCGCCGTCACCGTCGTCGTCGTCGACCCACCGTACGGCAACACCGGCGCGACGGGGCCTTTCCTCGCCGGCGTCACCGCGGCCAACCCGGCCATGACGTTCCACCGTCTGCCGAAGGTGGAGGTGCCGCCAGTGGCGTCCAAGCACCACGAGTCGCTCACCTTCGAGGTCACCCGCCTCTCCAACCCCGGCCTCCGCGACTTCCTCGCCGGCGCCTCCCCGGTCGTCCTCATCATCGACTTCTTCTGCAACGCCGCCCTCGACGTCGCCGACGAGCTGGGTGTCCCCGCCTACATGTTCTACACTTCCGGCGCCGAGATCCTGGCTTTCTTCTTGTACCTCCCGGTCCTGCACGCTCAGACCACGGCGAACTTCGGGGAGATGGGCGAAGAGCTCGTGCACGCCCCCGGCATCCCCTCGTTCCCGGCGACGCACTCCGTCCTGCCGCTCATGGAACGCGACGACCCGGCCTACGCGGAATTTCTGAAAGCGTCCGCCGACCTCTGCCGCACCCAGGGCTTCCTCGTCAACACATTCCGCTCGCTCGAGCCGCGGGCCGTCGAGACCATTGCCGCGGGGAGCTGCGCGCCTCCGGGCGTCTCGACGCCGCCCGTCTACTGCATCGGCCCGCTGATAAAGTCGGCGGAGGTGGGCGAGAACCGGAGCGAGGAGTGCCTGGCGTGGCTGGACACGCAGCCCAACGGCAGCGTGGTGTTCCTCTGCTTCGGCAGCATCGGCCTGTTCAGCGCGGAGCAGATCAAGGAGGTGGCGGCGGGGCTGGAGGCGAGCGGGCAGCGGTTCCTGTGGGTGGTGCGGAGCCCGCCGAGCGACGACCCGGCGAAGAAGTTCGACAAGCCGCCGGAGCCCGACCTGGACGCGCTCCTCCCCAAGGGGTTCCTGGAGCGGACCAAGGGCAGGGGGCTCGTCGTCAAGTCGTGGGCGCCGCAGCGCGACGTGCTGGCGCACGCGGCGGTGGGCGGCTTCGTGACGCACTGCGGGTGGAACTCGGTGCTGGAGTCGATCGTGGCCGGCGTGCCGATGCTGGCGTGGCCGCTGTACGCGGAGCAGCGGATGAACAGGGTGTTCCTGGAGAAGGAGATGCGGCTGGCCGTGGCGGTGGAAGGGTACGACGACGACGTCGGGGAGGGGACCGTGAAGGCGGAGGAGGTGGCGGCGAAGGTGCGGTGGCTGATGGAGTCCGACGGCGGGAGGGCGCTCCTGGAGCGGACGCTGGCGGCCATGCGGCGGGCGAAGGCGGCGCTGCGCGACGGCGGCGAGTCGGAGGTGACGTTGGCGCGGCTGGTGGAGTCGTGGAGGGAAGCGGCCAGCGCATGACGTGGGAAATGATTGAAGGATGATTGAATGAGGTGGTGGGCTGTGTTGTTGGGTGGAGATTAAAGTGACGCACGTAACCACCGAGTTGGGCCACCACAGAGATGGGTCGTTCATGACTGGGACTTTGGGTGATTTCAGTTTCGTACTATATGCTGTCTTGAGTACACCGTAATTGTTTTCCTTGCTCTTGGGGTAAAAAGAGCAGTAGACAAACGTATGATTTCAGTTTCATCTGTGATTGATTGCTAGCTTTCTGAGTGTCTTCCGAGGTCGAAGCGCACGATTTATCGAGCTCTACCGTGAAAGCTTATCTTTGATGCCCATCAATTCCGGTCTCATGGTTTCAGACAGCCACATGAGCTACTGATCTATCCCGACAAGTATAGATGGCCAACCGACGGCCCGGCCCATGACACAAACAAGATGAGGGATGAGGAATGAAAAATAGACTTATTCTAACCATTTGGAAATGGCCCAGAAAGGTGAGGGATAAAAAATATACTTATTCCAAGGAGGAGTTCGGTGGGCTTCTGTGCCTTCGGACCGACTCAGCACGGCCCGAATCTTATTGGGTCATGCATGGGCCGTTAGTGCATCCTGTGGCGAGCCCGGCTCAGCCTGGCGTGTAAGTCGGGTCATGCCGGCTTGACTGATCTCGGGCTCAGAGCTGATAAGGCAAGGGCAGGGAGGAGGCTACCTGCAAAATGGTGTGTCCTCCACGTTACCATGAGTCAACGGATATGTGCCATGACATAAAACGCTCTTTAGAAGGGGTGTTTTCTTAAAAACGCCCTCTCAGAAAGCGTTGGGCTGTAGATTTGTAAAATTTTAAAACCAAAAATTATTTTTAAATATTTTAATAAAATAAATTGAAAATTAAAAAAAACATTCACGCGCGACTCATGGTTCGTCTGGGCTCTGGGCCATGTGCGGCACTTGACCTGGCCTAGTCCCAAGCCTACCACGAGTCAACGATGGGCCTCTGGAACGGTTTGTCTCGCCTGCCCCCAAAGTAGTACGGAATAAGTTCACTTGAGATCCCTTAACTTGTCAACGAATTCGATTAGGTCCTTCGATCAGAAAACAGATATAACAGGTCCCTCAACTATTAAAACCGGTGCAAAGCAGGTCCCTCAGCGGTTTCGATGGTGGTTTTGGCTGATGTGGCGCTGACGTGGCTAGTTTGAGTTGGTCCTCGTCTTACGTAGCGATGATGTGGCACTAGAAGCAAAATATAAAACTTTAAAATAAAAACAAAAACATGGGGCCCGCAAGTCAGTCGGACAAAAGTAAAAATAGTGGGACCCACATCCTTTTCATCCACGGCGCCTTCTTCTCTCTCCCTCCCGGCCATCCTTCCTCGCCGGCCGGCGAGCGCGCACGGAGAAGGAAAAAGGCGCCGGCCGGCGAGGGAGGCGGAGAGGAGGTGTGGGAGGCCGCGATGCTCGTGGCGTGCACCGGGAACCCCGCAATCGTGAGGCTCCGCGAGATGACTTGCCACCCGGAGACCAGCAAGCTCCACCTCGTCATGGACTACGTCGGCGTGAAGCAGCTGCTCGCCGGCGTGAAGCAACTGCACGCGCAGGGGCCAGGGGGTCATCCACGGCGACATCAAGCCGGGCAACGTCCTCGTCGGCGCCGTCGATGGCCGCGTCAGGATCTGCGACTTGGGCCTCAGCAAGTCGGCCGCGGCGCCGCCGTCGCGGACGCAGCTAGTCGGCACGCTCTGGTACATGTCGCCAGAGTAGTACGCCAGTACCTCAGCAGTGTTGAGATTATGGGCATATAAGGATTTAATTTATTCCATAAATAAATCATGACATTACAGATGAAAACTAGCATGAACGCATCATTAGATCTACACATGTAAACTACGCAGAATAACATGAACAGATCAAATATGCGCAACATATTGAACACGTACCGAGGTGACGAAAAGACCGGCTGCTTGGTCGAAACTTTTCGCAGGTGTCTACGAAGGCACGAAACACGCGAGCGAAGAGGAAGGCGAGCCGTCGCGAACGAACAGGGAGCAGTCGCGCGAAGCGCTTCCCAAAAACCTTATTGCCGCCTTCTCCCGGTGCAGGACGTCAAAGGCAGAGGTTCCGGAGACCTGCTCTCCCGATCGCTGGTGCACGCCGGCGAGCGGGATGGAGTAGTCTACGAGCGACGGCGCAGTACAGAGTAGGAGGCAAACCCTAGATTGATTTTCGCATATATTGCGTGAAGACGGCGGGTCGGTTTATATAGAGAAGGGTCGCTTGATCAGGGCGCCCGCACGATCTCTACTGCGCGTAACCGAACCGGATAAGTCGCGCGTAACTTATCCGGACTCCACGCCGTTTGCACGCACCGGATTTTTCGGAACGTTTCCAAAACAAAACGAATCCGAATTTGCAGCAAAACAAAACTGCAAAAGGAGGCTGCATCTGCGCAAGGGTGAGGAGCCAATTTTTCGGACCATTCGACGCGTACGTCGTGCACGCGCGCCGCCTGCCCTGCCCTGCCAGGCCAGGCCAGGCCAGGCGAGGCGAGCGAGCGCGCGCGTGTGTTTCCCCTCTTCTCTCCACCACACATGCTTCAAGTGGCTAGGAGGGCATCCTCCCTTTTAAGGAGGTCCCCCTCTCCTAGAATAAGCAAGGTGGTACTAAACTCCACATGCATGCCATCCCATGAGGTGGGCTTTTGTGATTTTCCAAAGAATTAATCTTCGAATGGGCTAAGGCCCATTCATTAATTCCAACAATCCCCCACCAAATCTCAAAATCCCACTGAGATTTGCCTTTTCCAATGTACTGTTTATATACCAGCGGTTCGATGGAGACCAATTAAGGTTGAACATCCACCTAGAACTCCAAGCTACACTTACTCACAACTTGAACAATGGACTACGCCTTGAATTGCAAGTCTTGTGCAAGCAAGTTTCACTCAAAGTCTTATCTGGTACTAGACCGTCTGTAGACTACCCCTCGGGTGGAGCGTATAAGTCATACTCCTAGGTCTTTAGTAAGCTTCCTAGAAGATTCACCCAAAATCTTCATAGACTGCGACCAACAGTCAAGCTCACAAAGGTGAGTTCCTTCAAGAATGCTCTGCAGGACAACATCTTTGCTAATTAAAGCCAACAGAACTCATTAAGGCATAGCCAACCTGCCTTGCAGCTCACAAGAGTATATGCATCTTCACTTGGATAGGGTATATATATTGGTACTCTCCTCTAGTTTATTAATGGTTTGTTCTTCCCAGGATCTAATTCACGGGATCTCCGATCACATAGACTGGGTTACCACCATAGTATAACTCACATGGGTCTCAAACCCATCTCCTTCGATGCATTGTCTATCACATTTCGTGATAGTCCCTTCGTGAAGGGATCTGCCAGGTTTCTCGCTGTTTGGATGTAATCCAACGTTATAACTCCGGAGTTTCTTAATTTCCTGACAGACTTCAATCGTCTTTTCACATGTCTAGACGATTTCATATTATCCTTAGAACTATTCACTTTGACAATTACCGTTTGATTGTCACAGTTCATAAGGATAGCCGGCACCGGTTTTTCAACAACAGGCAGATCCATTAATAGATCACGCAGCCATTCTGCCTCAACAGTAGCAGTATCCAGTGCCGTTAGCTCTGCTTCCATGGTTGACCTCGTCAAAATTGTCTGTTTGCAAGACCTCCATGAAACAGCACCACCACCCAGTGTGAAAACATATCCACTAGTGGCTTTGATCTCATCCACATCAGAGATCCAGTTAGAATCACTATAACCCTCCAGTACCGCAGGATACCCAGTATAGTGAAGTCCCAATTCCACAGTACCTTTCAGATAGCGCATTACTCGCTCAAGCGCACGCCAGTGATCATCTCCCGGATTAGAAGTAAATCGGCTCAACTTGCTCACAGCAAAGGAGATATCAGGCCTAGTTGCACTAGCCAGGTACATCAACGAGCCAATGATTTGGGAGTATTCCAGTTGATTCCTAGCAATTCTCTTGTTCTTGCGAAGCAACAAGCTAGGATCATAAGGTGTTGGAGAAGGCTTACTATCAATGTAGCCAAAGCGATTCAAGATCTTCTCCACATAATGGGACTGCAAGAGAGTAATCCCATTCTCACCTCTAATTAGCTTAATGTTTAAGATAACATCAGCTACTCCCAAATCTTTCATATCAAAATTTTGAGACAAGAATGATTTAACCTCATTTATCACCTCAAGGTTTGTCCCAAATATCAGTATGTCGTCAACATACAAGCACAAAATAACTCCCTCACCCCCACCATGGCGATAGTACACACATTTATCTGCCTCATTGACTGCAAAGCCTGCAGATGTCAATGTTTTGTCAAATTTCTCATGCCATTGCTTAGGAGCTTGTTTCAGACCATACAAAGACTTCAACAATTTGCACACTTTGCCTTCTTGACCTTCAACTACAAACCCATCAGGTTGATCCATATAGATCTCCTCATCCAGCTCTCCATTAAGAAAAACTGTCTTAACGTCCATTTGATGAACGAGAAGACCATGTGAGGCTGCTAGGGAAAGTAGCACACGAATTGTGGTCAATCTAGCAACAGGTGAGTAAGTGTCAAAGAAATCTTCGTCTTCTTTCTGAGTATAGCCCTTAGCAACAAGCCGAGCCTTGTACTTTTCAATAGTACCGTCAGGCCTAAGCTTCTTCTTGAACACCCACTTGCACCCCACAGGTTTACACCCATAGGGTCGCTCTGTCACCTCCCAAGTCCCGTTAGCGATAATGGAATCCATTTCACTACGGACAGCCTCCTTCCAGTAGTCTGCATCAGGAGATGCATATGCTTCTGAAATTGACTTAGGAGTGTCATCCACGAGGTACACAGTGAAGTCATCACCAAAAGACTTAGCCGTCCTTTGTCTCTTACTCCTTCGAGGAGCTTCACTGACATCCTCCTCAGAGACAAGTTCATGTGTATATTCAGTTTGTTCTGGTGGTGTGATTGAACTGGGAATTATTTCAGAGGGTTGGTTCGAACCACTATGTGTATCCTTCATTGGAAAAAAGCTCTCAAAGAAGGTAGCATCACGAGACTCCATAATTGTACCAACATGCATGTCCGGTACCTCGGATTTAACTATTAAAAATCTATAGGCAATGCTATGATGAGCATATCCCAGAAAAACACAGTCCACAGTCTTAGGTCCAAGTTTGCGCTTCTTCGTTATTGGTACATTGACTTTCGCCAAGCACCCCCATGTGCGCAAATAAGAAAGTGATGGTTTTCTACCAATCCATATCTCATATGGTGTTTTGTCCTTATTTCTGTTAGGAACT